TAATACACATATGCGTTTCACAATCTATTTCATTTCCTCTTTTCGTGGTCTCACGACGATCCATTCGATCCATTCATTCCTCTGACGTACAAATATGTGAAAGTGGACGTAACAAAATGTAAAGGAAGGGCGGCAGAAGCCCAGCCAAAATTGATCATGCCGAGCAGGGCTAACAAGAAGGTTGAAGCTCTAAAATGGTGTTTTGGGGCCGTAAATAGGCCGAAGCGTAACTTGTGATGTAACAGGCCATGCTAATCGAAGCAAATCCAGAATGGCTGAATAGCTTGTGATTTAAGACGAACGTAACTCCGCAACCAAAGCAGCTAGAATGCTAAAATTTTCTGAAGGCGACCCAAGTTCGTGCCTAAACCGGCGCATGCAAGGATGACGTTCATGTTCCTCACGTACGAACACTTTTCCCGTTCAAAGCAGCTAGTGTGCTCATCTTTTGTTCAATTTTTATGCAGTAATTGTGAGAAAAAAAGCAAAAATCACATTTCTCAGTTTGATTCGTGTATCTACTTATTTAGCAGCAGTTACTTTCCTTATAACTGCTCGTATTAACAACAGCACTTCTGCAGGAAATAATGCAAAAAATTCTCTGTGATATTTTTGTTTTGCATAATTTTATGGATAATTTTTTTCAGAGTTATGAATATGGAGATGCTGGTTCGTTCGTGCTCGTGCCACTTTTTCAACTGGGACATCTTCTTGATGAGGAGGAGTATCAGCGTCGTGTTGTACCTTGTCTATGTAAACTGTTCAGTTCACCGGATCGAGTAACACGTGTTAAACTGCTTGAGCATATCGATGAAATTGCACCTCATTTAACACCACAAATTGTTAATGAAAAGATTTATGGGTTGGTTTTTAGGGTTTTTTTTGTTTCATTCTGGATTGATTTATTTTACCAAAAAATGTAGCCTGTTGTGCTGTAATTACTTCGGAATCATTGGCGAATCCAGAGGGGGGAGGGGGGAGGGAGGCTCGTGAAGAGTGG